GGAAGAAAGTTATACAGGTGTCCAGGACTTTTGTTCATAGGATCGCTATGAGTTGTCTACGACTCAGCGGCTCTTAACAACAACAGTTCTGAGAGGAGAGTGCCTCATCTTTCTCCTCTGGAGCTGCTGGTGGATAGGTTCAAACTGCCGCCACCTTTGGTTAGCAGCCAGCCACCATCTAACTTTCTTTGGTGTCATGATCCCCACAGCATGAGTCACTAACTCTGTGTGGAATTGGAACTGACTTCTGGCTGATCCACCAGTGGATTTTCAGAACTTGTAAATTGTACCGGAGAAGAATGCCCATTTTTCTCCCTTGGAGCAAGCAGCTGGTAGACTCAAACTACCTGTCTTTGGGTGAGCAGCACAAATCCATACTCACTAGGCCACTAAAGCTACCTTAAAGGGTGATTGTTGTTGTTAGATGTCATCCAGTAGACACCTTGATATCCAACCTTTAGCCACCTTGTGAACAATAGACCTGAACCTTGCCCTACCCTGTGCCATCCTCAAAATCTCTGAGATGCTCAAGCAAGTTATTATAGTCATATCAATCCATGTTGTTGAGGGTCTTTCTCTGTTTTGCTGACCTCTTTGTGACAACATGACCAAAGCATGTGAGGTGAAGTTTGACTATCCTTCCTTCTAAGGAGCAGCCTGGTTACACTTCCTCCAAGACAGACTTGTTAATTTGGCAGTGTGTGGGATATTCAGTGTTCTCTATTACTGCAATTCAAAGGCATCAGTTTTTCTTATTCATCGTCCAGCTTTCAGCTGCATAGGAAGTAATTGAAAATATCATGGTTTGGATAAGGACCCACTTAGTCTTTAAACTGACATTGTTTTCTTTAGCTCTTTAGAGAGGTCCTTGACAGTAAATTTTCCAGTTGCAACTTTTATTTCTTAAGAGGAGGTTATTAAAATAATTAAATGAGATATTAAACACTTAGTATAATACTTATATATTGAAAGTACTTGATAGAATATATTTATTTTTCTTTAAAATTATTATCTCTTATAATTATTATTTTGAATTAAGTTATAGCATACTTAGTAAAATGCTTAAAGTATATACTTTGGTGATTTTTAATGTATATTTATATCCAAGTAATTATGTCCTAAATAAAGATATAAAACATTTTTATCATTTTAAAATTTTTACTTGTGCCCCTCTCTTCCTCTGGGTCCCCTTCCCAGTTATTTCTTCCCATTATCAGAGATAATTATTCTTTTTATCAGCAAATATTAGTGTTATCTATAGTTTAACTTTATGGAAATGAAATTCAGAACTTGTATCTTTATTTTTTTTCCATGTAACATACATGTGTATTTATCCATGAATTTAAGAAAAAAAATGCTGTGTAATATTTCATTGTATGACTATTTTATTCATTCTCCTGTTGATTAATATTTTATTGCATCCAGTGTTTGATAGGAATGAAGCTGTTGTGAACAGTCTTAGTGGACATCTGTTCATTTCTCTTGTGTATGTACCACATGAATGGACTTTCTGGGTCATAGGGCTGTTTATTGCTAGTTGCCTACATGTCTTTTTCATCCATCGTGACCTGTATGCACAGAGTAGACTTGTACCATAGAATTTTCAGGGATGTAACTTTTTGGAAGATGATTGTTGGACCTGTCTTTTGAGGCAACCTTTGGGGAGTTTGAACTACTGACATTTTGACTGGTGGTTAAATGCTTCACATTTTATTCAATCGAGGACTTAGTAACTGTATGCTTAATTTTAGTATGTACTGGCAAACAGTTTTCCAAAGTGGTGGTACCAAATTATATATCTATCAGCAGTGTCCAATGAGAGTTTCTGTTACTCTGTGTCCTCACAAGCACTTAGTGTTGTCATTACAGCCTTGCTGATTTTAGCTGTCATGATAAGTATTAATAATTCCTGATTTTAACCTAATTTACATTCCCTGGTGAGTAACTATATTGAGGATCTTTTCATGTGTTTCTTGGACATATGAACATCTTGTGACATACCTGCTCAATCTTTTCACCTGTTTTTAAATTGAATTATTTGCTTTTTATATTTTATATAAATAGCATTCATATAAATGTCTTCTCCTAATGGTTGAGTTGCCAGTCTTACTGTTTCTTTGTTTGTTTTTTAAATAAATGCTATTGTTAGGTGTCTTCCATTTAATTTCATATCTTGTAGTGATCACGTCTGACCAACTTAGAACTGTTTGACAGGACTTTCTTGATCATAATCTTTATGGAAGCAAGTCACATGGTCGTTTTCCTGCAGAACCATTGAGTGGGTTTTAGCTTTTTGGTTAGCAGCCTAGCAAATATTAGAAAGGTTCGATAAATCAAGTTTTCCTTCCCTTATGTGCTGTGTGCCTGTCAGCCCATAGGCCATGAAGATAGTCTGTGGGTGTTTTTCTAAACAGTTTTATGGTTCTCCTTTTCAGATGTAGGTATAATAAGCTGCTTGTCTAATTTTGTGCATAATGTGAAGTAGGAGTCAAGGTTAATTTCCCTTGTTGCTCCTGTACTATTTATGGAGAATCTTTCTGATTTTCAGTTTGTGTGTGCACATACATCTAAAGCCAGGGGGAATTGAAGTTTGATTGTACTGTGTCTATGGTTCATTAGGGAAAGTTGACATCTTAGCTACATTGAATCTTCCCATCCATGAATGTAGAATATTTCTCTATTTATTAAATTAAAAACTGATTACTGTGGAGTTAAAACAGACTCATAGCTGACCCTCCAGTGGGTTTCCCGAGGTTGTAAAGGACAGGAGAGGAGAGTACCCATCTTTTTCCCCCTGAGCTGTTGGCAGATCCAGCCTCTGGCTTAGCCGCTCAACTCTCTACAGACTTCATTAATTTACATCAGGAGTGTTTTGTAAGTTTTCAGTGTAAAAAACTTGCACCCATATTCATCAGTTTTATTACTACATACTAATACTATCTAATGCTGCTGTAAGCGGTATTTTTTTTCTAACGGTAGACTTTTTTTAATTGAACTTTTTATACAACTGTGGCAGTAGAAATATGAGGTGAATTTTAATTGAATTGTTTGCAGAAGGTATAATTTAGGTAACCACTAAACTGTCACAGGTATATCATGCAGTTTTCTAAATGAAATCACTAGGTTTTTTAAAAAAGTTAATAATTAAATAATATTTTTTAAAAAAGAATTATCAGAAGATATTTTAACTTTTTAAAGGTATAGTTACATATAATGTACATATCTGAAGTTTTTGCTAAATACCTACCTCATGTAGCCACTACCCAGATCAAGATACAGAATGCTTAGCAGTTCACCAGGAAAGCTCTCTTGTACCTTCTTCTCCCCTTAGATGAACTACAGTTTCTGAAAGGCTTTTGTTTGTATATATTTTGTGTCATTATTTGAACTAATGAAGTAATAGCTTGAACTATTGTAAGTTGAGTATTTTATTTTTAGCAGAAGTGATAGGTGATATTGTTTGGGGGACTTAACTGTTATTAACAATGCTATATTAGGGAATGAGGTTATTTTTCAAATGATTAGAACTCGAATTAGACCTGTATTATAAGGTTGCAGTCTAGTGAGTAGTTTACCTACGAGGTTTTTGGTAAATATATTTTAATGCTCTTGTGAATACTGCTTTTGCTTGACCTTTTACCTTAATACTTCCAAAGATACTTATTTTCTCCCTCCCTAAGTGTACTTACTTTAATAGTTACAATATCATCTGTCAAATAGCACCATTAAAAATCCGTTTCTACAACTGATGGTCAAGAATATAAGGATATCTATCTCCTTATATATCAAGAATATAATAAAAATGGAATTTGCACTGAGGAAGTGTTAAAATTTTTATATTTTGATATAAAACTTAGTACAGAATATTAAATAGAAATAATTCTGGCTGTCATGAGTTTGGGAAACTTTTAAAGTGAAGAGATGGGAGACAATAGACTTCTATTAAGAATTCAGTTTTGTGCAACAGTGAATGAATGAAAATCCAAAGTCTCTGTAAATTTTAATTGAAATGAATAATTAGAAAAAAATTTTAAAAAACCCAATTTTGTGTATTACGTTGTTCACATTGAATATGTTAGACAGATGGTAAGGAAATGGTACCTGAAACCACATGGTCCAGTCACAGACTGAATGTGGAAGGAGATGCCTGCTAGGTTTACCAAATGTGGCTTTTCCTGCTATTAGTATTCTCCCCTCCAATGATTTGAGGAGCACACAGATATACACATATATTTACATATACATTTAAATGTTTTAGAATATAACACATATACATAAGAATATAAAAAGTGTGTAATAATTCTACAAAGTAGACACATTTGCTTAGTAAGGACCCCCTCAATGCTGCTTTTATTTAATTCACTACCTGAAAAAAGTGAGTAGTAGTCTAACTTCTCATGGCAGATAGGCCTATCCATGCAATAATAGAATATGCACTAGTTTTATTTGACTTCCTTTGCCCAACATTTTATGTATGTGGTTCATTTTAATTATTTTAGGTAATCTTAAGGGGAAAAAAATCCACTTAAAATTGTTTGTTCTGAAACAGTTTCTAATACCGCAGCACTAAGGTTAGGGATTGAGGCAACAATAATACTATTAGACCGAGTTGGGGCACATGGGAGCCATTAGGATGCTGCATCTCATGCTGTGCTCCTGAGAGACAAGTCATCAGCTTGGTGGCAAAGAATTTATAAAACACCCATGGATTTTGTTAATATAAAGTTGATTATTCTTTAGAGTTTTTCTTAGGTTTATGTACTTGAGCAGTAACTTTGTGGCTGTAATAATTACCATTTTTGGAGCTCATACTAGGCACAAGATTAAGGAACTCTGTGCAGAGTTCTTTTCTGAAATGATCTGCTTTTGTTTTTCACCAGAACTGTTGTACGAATATTTGGAGAGTAAGGCTTTAGACATTGTGAATAAACACATCTTTTAATTTGTGTCTATGTCTGCAGCCTCTGTTTTCTCTGACTGTTTTCTCTTTCCATGTGTAGGTATGTCATTGATGGTGCCACTGCTCTTTGGTGTGCAGCAGGAGCAGGACATTTTGAAGTTGTTAAGCTTCTAGTGAGTCACGGAGCCAACGTGAACCATACCACAGTAACGAACTCCACTCCACTGAGGGCAGCATGCTTTGATGGCAGACTGGACATTGTTAAGTACTTGGTTGAGAATAATGCCAACATCAGCATTGCCAACAAGTATGACAACACCTGCCTAATGATCGCTGCATATAAGGGGCACACTGATGTGGTCCGCTACCTTCTAGAACAGCGTGCTGACCCTAATGCGAGAGCACATTGTGGAGCCACAGCACTGCACTTTGCAGCTGAAGCTGGGCATATAGATATTGTGAAAGAGCTGATAAAATGGCGCGCCGCTATAGTGGTAAATGGCCATGGGATGACTCCGTTAAAAGTAGCTGCCGAAAGCTGTAAAGCTGATGTTGTTGAGCTGTTGCTCTCTCACGCTGACTGTGACCGAAGAAGCCGGATTGAAGCTTTGGAACTCTTGGGTGCCTCCTTTGCAAATGACCGTGAGAACTATGACATCATGAAGACATATCACTATTTATATTTAGCCATGCTGGAGCGGTTTCAGGATGGTGACAGTGTTCTTGAAAAAGAGGTTCTACCACCAATCCATGCTTATGGGAACAGAACTGAATGTAGAAATCCTCAGGAACTGGAATCCATTCGACAAGACAGAGATGCTCTTCATATGGAAGGCCTTATAGTTCGGGAACGAATTTTAGGTGCTGACAATATTGATGTGTCTCACCCCATCATTTACAGGGGGGCTGTCTATGCAGATAATATGGAATTTGAACAGTGTATCAAGTTGTGGCTTCATGCTCTGCACCTTAGGCAGAAAGGTAACAGGAATACCCACAAGGATCTCCTTCGATTTGCTCAAGTTTTCTCACAGATGATCCACTTGAATGAGACTGTGAAGGCTCCAGACATAGAATGTGTTCTGAGATGCAGTGTTTTAGAAATAGAACAAAGTATGAATAGAGTAAAAAATATTTCAGATGCTGATGTCCACAATGCCATGGACAATTATGAATGTAATCTCTATACTTTTCTGTACTTAGTATGCATCTCCACCAAAACACAGTGCAGTGAGGAAGATCAGTGCAAAATTAACAAGCAGATCTACAACCTGATTCACCTGGATCCCAGAACCCGGGAAGGCTTCACCTTGCTGCATCTTGCTGTCAACTCAAATACACCAGTTGACGATTTCCACACTAACGATGTGTGCAGCTTTCCAAATGCACTGGTCACAAAGCTCCTGCTGGACTGTGGTGCAGAAGTGAACGCTGTGGACAACGAGGGGAACAGCGCCCTTCACATTATCGTTCAGTACAACAGGCCCATCAGTGATTTTTTGACCCTTCATTCTATCATCATTAGTCTGGTTGAAGCTGGCGCTCACACTGACATGACAAACAAACAGAATAAGACTCCACTAGACAAAAGTACAACTGGAGTGTCTGAAATACTCCTTAAAACTCAAATGAAGATGAGTCTCAAGTGCCTGGCTGCCCGAGCAGTTCGGGCTAATGACATTAACTATCAAGACCAGATCCCCAGAACTCTGGAAGAGTTTGTTGGATTTCATTAAGTGACTGGATATGTAAAATCGTTTAATGTGGTGCTAAAAAGTAAAGGACTTTAATCACAGACAATAGAATTATGTGTTTATAAATTCTCCTTTTCTTTTTACTATACTTCCTTCTAACTCATCCTCCCTTTGTTCTATATTTGGTCTTGCATCTCATGGTAATTGATTGATTTCAAATACACCTGAAGCGTTATTTTGGTATAACTATAACCTTAAAGGTGTTTGGATGTTGGTCACTTAACTATTTGTTTTTCTTTTTTTTTTTTCAAATGAGATGAGCAAAATATTTTATGTGATAAGGGAAATTTATGATTGGAAGTTGATAATTGTTTTAAATAGCTACCTGGAAAAATATTCTGTTAAAAGCCTATGTCAGCTTGTTATTCATGCAATGTAGTCTAGAAGATTTAATGGAGGAAAAAGTCTATAAGGAACATTGAAAGTAATGGGATATCCAAGTGTTCTGGACATGCCAAATTCCTATAGTTTTTCACTCTTTCATTTTTTATGTGAAGTGAAATGACAAATTGTAACAGGAGGATTAAAAAAATGCTGTTGATTACTCTGAAAAAAAATTTACTATTTTAGTAATGGCCATAAATTTATAAAGTTAAGTAAATATTTTGATATTATTACATAATGCTGATGGTATATTCAGAGTAGTAATAATCTTAAACCAGTTTTCAAAGAATATTGATGAACTTTTGGTCTTTAGGATTGAATTCTAAAATTCCTTGAAGTCTGTTTTAATATAGTTTATCCAAATTGCAGCAGTCTACATTGAATCTCAGCTCCCAGACAAGTAAACATTATGAATGCACAGTGTAATCACCAGTAGTTATGTATCCTGTTTTTTGTCTCCTTACCTTTCCCTTATCCTCTTGTGTGTCATCTTGTAAAATTTCTAAACTCCTTTTCCAGAGGCCATTTTTAGTGCCTCCCTAAGTGCAGCTTCCCCCAGAAACACATGGGGTCCCCATGAGTCTGAATAGACTCCAAGGCAACTGGTTTGTTTAATAAGATGTTTATGATAAGTGAAAGGGAACTGGAATATTTTATTTTCATATATTTTTTTAAGCATAGTCCAGAAGTAGAATAATAATTAGTGTGGTATAGGAAATAAAGGTTTTGATGAGGAAAATGAATTTGACAGATCTTCCATTTTGACATAGTTCTGTCTGAGAGCAGCACGCTTTTAACCACAAAATGTTGTTTACTTGTTCCGGCAGGCTGTACAGAGGCCTTTATCGTTTTTTGTTTTGTTTTAACTACAACATTTTAGCTGTCAGACTAACAGTGTTCTGTGATTATTTTTTAAGCATCACAGAAGTTCAAGTAAAGGGTACACACTTATTTCTATTGATGTTGATAATGCAGAAGAAAGTAAAGTCCGCTTATATCTGTATTATTTCTCTCTAGTGCCAAATGAATGCCTTAGCTACTCATAGTGCATGGTACTGTAAATGAAGACCTGCAACTTTTTTCTTTAATGAAAAGCAGTATAATGATATTGTAACATCAGATATAAACTAGGGAAAAACAAAAACAACTAAGTTTTCAATGAATATTTTATGTGAACATGACTTTGTGAAATAGAAAAGGTTGCAGTTGGATCAGTATAACATAATGAGCAAGCCAAAATCAGCACCTAGGGCCTTAAATAAGCTAGTTATACCCTCCAAAATGAAATCCTTTGAAGAGTAGGAGGGAATGGAAGATGGAAGGCTTTAAAAACTTCCCCTCCAACAATTCAATATACTTTTATAACCGCTGTAATTATATTTCATGCAACTTCCTCCTTGGGTTAGGAATTTTCTCTGCTACATTCTGCCATGGCAATAGATTCTATTTTCCTAACTTGAGATTTTACAAGGAAGACTTAGAGTGGTTTAAATGGGAGATGTTTGGATGAGCCCTTATTTGAAATTATTGGCCTTGATCCTCTTGGAATGAACCAGGGAAATATTGTACCTTGCTTTTGGCAACTCTCATGGCCTGAAAGAGAAAATATACTTCCTCAAGGTGAGTGAGTCATGCCTTTTCCATGGCTTAGATCAGATCTTTTATTTTTTCTGATTTTTAAGACCCACTTATTTTTAACTGAGGCGTTCAATCTGTGCCCATTATTAATGTGTATGATTTTTAAACAACAAACTTTAAAAGATTAAATAATGTTGCATGTTTTAAAACTTTTCATTCCTTTTGTGACCCAGGACAGAGCACTATTTAAAATGCATTTTTATAAAATAAAGGTAATGATTATAGGTGCACATTCAGACATCAAAATTTAATGACATGTTTCTGGGAAGGGAGGATTGAATGCTGGAGAAAGTAAAACTGCTGATTGAAATGCTGACCAAGTTGGAGAAAGAACTGAATTTGAAGGCAATGGAATAAACTATGTGGCAATGGTAACTGGTCATTTTTCCCCCCTGTAGTATAGTAGTACATATTGCTAAGGGCGTCTTGTGAAATAAATTCTAATATGTATTGTGAAACATCTGTATAAAACCATTCTTGAAACAAGTGATTTACATGCCTTTTTTTAACTTTTTTTTTGGGGGGGGGTAGGATTATTTTAAAATATGTTTAGCTAAACCTGAGTTCATTTTTTAAAGGAAAATAAATAGGTGATAAAGGAGATGATTCTGTATCTCAACTCTTTCTTCCCCCCCCCCCCAGCCACTGTTGTTATTTTTGTGTTGGCAGAATTATATCTTGGATTGTAATTCTGGATGAAATTATGTGCCATTGAATTGAAACCAACTCTTAGCTCTAGTGGGTTTTCCGAGGCAGTAAATTGCATGGGAAGAGATTGCTCATCTTTCTGCCACAGAGCAGCTAGTGGAATTGAACCATGTGCTTTTGAGTTGGCAGTGCAGCTCCCTACCATAAACCACCAGAGCTTCCTGGAACTCTTGACAATATTATGAATTAATCAAAATTTCTTTGTCCTATTAATAGAAATTTGGGTGAACTAGAGGGTCCAGGATAGATGCTTTTATTTGCCAACCATGTGAAACTAAGGTTCATTTGTTCCTTTAAAAATAGAGCTGATGAAATGGAACTCTTGAGTTAAGGTAGTTATTTAAGGGGTGGGCAACAAATCTGTCTCCTTAGTTGGTTAAAGAAAGGAGATATTTTTCACCCAAGAGTTGCCACTGACAACATTCTCCCCTTAATTTCTCTGTTCTTGTGTACTTTTGAGTCAGAACTGACCTAGCTGACCCTCCACTGGGTTTTTAGAGACAGTAAATTGCATGTGAAAAGCTTGCCCATCTTTCTGCTGTGGAGCAGCTAGAGTCTTCGAACTGTGTGCTTTCAGGATTGCACTGCAGCATCTTAGGCTGCCAGAGCTCCCTGCTTCAAGGTTCTTTTCTGTGAGGACTTTAAACAAACAAATCCAAAAGCAGACCATTTGAAGACTTTGGTGTTGCTTTATTCTGGGTAAGTGTTATAAGACTGGTCATTGTGAGAACCCTCGGTGATCTGGGAGCAATAGCTCCTTAATACAACTCTGTATTTGGCAGGTGACTTTGAAAATTAAGATCCCTAGGTTAACAAAACCCTGTCACCTTTGTCCACTGTAAAAAGATGAGTTCGGAATGGAGTGGAATGTTGAGTGAAGGGCTCATTTAGAAGTTGCCAGTGGTCCATTAAGGACCTCTTGTGGCATAGCCTGTAGGCAGTTGGCCTGCTAGCCCAAAGGCAGCATCTCTCTTGTGTGAATCCATCAGCTGTTTTGAGAGAGAAAGATGGGAAATCTCTGGTTCAATTTACAGACTCAAAAAATATCCATAAGAGGGTCAGCTCTGATTTGGCTGACTCAGTGGCAATGTGTTAGTGGACTAAACTCATAGTCCACTAGTGCATGGATGGATAAAACCATAAAAGACTTCTTTTATGGTAATTTTTTTTCTAAAATTATAAATGTTCCTATTCAGGTTAGGAATGTATCAATGTACACATAATCATTCTGCTTAATGCAGCCAAAACAACTAAATCATACAGTATTTAAGTAGATTAAAGAAAACAGAATTTTGCGTTTTTGTTATCCTACTCTGAAAACACAGCTCTGCTCTGGGTGTCTGCCTTCTAAAAGAAGTAGAAAACTCCTATGTCACATTTTAGGTTTTTTTTTCCCCATGCTTTCTTAGAAGCCTTGCCCAAATTCAGACTGGCTGGGTTGTGTGCATTTCCTTTCATAAATAGGGGATCTGAAGTAAATGCTGTATTTATTTGATAATGGTGACATTAATTTTGAAAACTAATGTAAATGTGGTCTCTAGTCCTAGGTTGTAGTTTGTACATTTGTGTTAATGTGTAGGGAAAGGGGCAATGACTTGATGGCTATGGGGAGTGTATATTGATATGTATTCAGGGGTGATCTTTGCTAAGTTAACAACATTTCATTTAGGGGAATTCTGACAGTGGTCAAATCAGCAAACTAAGGAGAGAAGAGGCAAGCTTTCTTTCCAAGTTATGGAAGGAACAAGGTCTTGTATTGTTTTTATCAAGTATTGTAAAACTTATGCATGGCTTATTTTTGGTATGTGTTGCTTCTTAATGGGAGAGGAGAAAAAAAGGGGGGAGGAGAATCTGTTTTCCTAACCCATCTTTTCAGAGGTAAATAGTTGAGGAGTAAAATCTGACTGGCCTAACCTGTCCTTTATAATAATCATCCCATCTTGCATTCCTCCAGGTAGAGGACTATGTTGTTACATTCTAGTAATTCACTGTGATTATAACAAAACCAGTGATGTCATTCTGTTGTGCACTTTTGTCAAACCATTTACATAACTTTAATAAATATAGTAAACTTGCTGACTGTAGAGGTCTACTAGTGATTTATATATTGCATGACATTTTCTATTTGAGATTGACATGAAGAATAATTTTTAATTTTATAGCACTTGATAGTCCTAATTACTAATTTGAAACTAAACAATCTTGCAGTATATTAGGAAGAAAACGGTGTTTGTGTTTAGTAAATGTTTGGAAGAAAAATTGCAACAAAGCTTCCTTGCAGTTTGTGTCTTTATTGCCCAGTATGTTCTTA